ATTTTATTTATTCTGTGAACACAATGCATTATATTTTTTGTGCATGGAGAAAGCCCTGCTTAAAAAGTTTTAAACGAAAAAAAAGCACTAAAATTATTTGAAAACTCTGACGATTATATTAACATTTTATTGTAAAAAAAATGTCGATAATTTGGTTTAAATGGGTGTATTTTGGTTGTTTCTTCATGTGATGCTGTATTATTGGTTTATGTTATAATTTTAATTTAGGAATATCATTTACTGACTTCTATTTGTTTTCTGTTTTAGTCTATAGTATTTTAAAGTCGCTCTTTTGTTTGGATATGGGTCTATAATTTTTATCTTTTGTGTCATTTAATTTGTCTGTGTTGGGTTTTGGTAAAGTAGGCTTTGCTGATGTGCACCCCCCCCCCCCCCCACTCAAACTTTCGATTTGCACCCCCCTCAACCTTTCAATTTATTTTTCCAAACCATTTTGGCGCCCCAACATATGTCCCCCGCCCCCCCCCTCCACCTCCCCCCGCCTCCCCTTCCCCCCCCCCCCGCCTCCCCTTTCCCCCCCCCCCCCCCCCCTCCTCGCTACGCTACTGCAGTGTCACTTATCGTCACAAAAACAGACCCCACATTCAAAAATATGTTTCTTATCTTTTAAAAACACCGAAAACACCGATTTCGGACTATCCCTTCATATACTGACGTCACATGTGACCTACTCAACTCTACTTCACCTGCCCAGTGTCCCGCCAAGTCTCAGACAACATGTTTTTATCGTTTAAAAAACGATTCCAGCCGAGCATGTCTCTGACCACAATATCCTTTCATATGCTTAGGACAAAGAAACAGATGAACTCTACTTCACCTGCCCTGTATCCTGCCAAGTTCAGATAGGCAACTTTATCATTCACATCTAAAAAAAAAAATTGAAAAAAAAATATCATTGACATATTGGTCTAGAACCTGTACCACCCGCACGAGAGCGGACTACGCTACAAACTTAGCTATTTACTCGTGACGTCACAAATGAATTTTTATACTATACTTTTGAGTCTCCGCGCATAGATCTAGATCTAAGTGTAGTAGTAGAATCTAGTAACTTTCAAATTAAATTTTATCTTAAATTAGCCAAACAAAGATTTATATAAAATAATTAAGGCCTGAAATAGATTCTAGATGTATTAAGGCATGAAATAGATTCTAGATGTAGAATTTACATTAAGTCTAGATCTAGAATTTACATTGAGTCTAGTGACCTAGATCTAGGCTAGATCTAGATCTAGGCTAGATTCATAACTTTCCTTCGACAGCTGATCTTTAGATCTAGAGAAATTTATTGTAAAACTAAATGAAAAAAGACAGTTTAAAATTGATATAAGTGTTGGAACGTAATAAATACAGCAAACGGACGTTTTGTTAAAGTTATGACCGACAGAAAATTAGATTTAGAACGCGTTAAACTTTTGAATGGGAACACAATTTTCTTCGATAGACGCCGCCATTTTATTGTACTAAAGAGTAAACAAAAAACTGTGACGTCACGGCCCCGCCGAGTGTAGTGGTCGTTCTAAACTTTTTAAAAAAAAATGGGTTACTCTGCGCATGAATAAATCAATAAATTAATTAACGTCTTTAAATAAATGTGTGATTAACAGTCTGTCTGCATTAAAAAATTATTCTCTACCTACATACTATTGTACAGCTTTCCACGATGAGTGCAACCATGAGCAATAGTCAATCAGGCAAACAAACAAACAAACAAATAAATATTCAAACATGTAAACAAACTTGACTTTTAGTAGTATTAAGATTGTCTTGAGTTTCGTTGTTGGTTTCGTCTTTATAAATAGCTAATGGCAGTAATCAGTGAAGCGTGTCTGATTTTTGTCCAAGTCTACGCCGTTGTCGTGTGTTATGATTTGTATTGGTTTAGAATGGGCGTGTATTTGCTATAATATTATGTTGTGGTGTGAGGGCTCTTCACTTCCTATTGTATATTCTCAACAACCATGTATATGTGACAGGTGAAGAAACTATGTACAATACTACACCACATATACCATATCCGACAAATATCATACACGCGAGTTATGTGCTTTATGTCATAGAGGATCATATACACAGGATTATTATATTTACTGAACTGATAATAATACATCGCCAAAAATATTATATTTACTGTTTTATCTTCTAATAATCTTTCGCAAAGGATAATCAATTTGACCTTTCTGTAAAGTGTAGTATACTTACATAGCCATAAAACAAATGTAGTTACTTTAATATTGATGCGTTGGCCTTGTCAAAGGGTAGAACACTCGGGTCCCGAAAGATGTCCCTGAGTTTACCCCGGGTATCTAACGGTAGGGAAAGTAAAGGCGATAAGACTTACAGCTTAACACACTCTCTTTTTAATGCTGACGTCATACGAACAGGTAAACTCTACATCATCTGCACCATGTAGGTCCGGTTTTAAAATGCAATATTAGTTACTTTATTTACTTTACTGTTTTGTTGCATTAAGCCCTGCGTTTAAATCCTGAATAAACAAAACCCGTTTTTATGCGCTATTTCATTTTTCATTTTGTGTGTGTAAATATCGTTTTATACAATAGCTCTTCCATGTGGGGAATTTCATTAAAATGTTCTAAGTTGTAGCTAGTAAATTTTATTTTTAAAAAGTGCATTTTTTCCGATGTCAGACCGGTGTTACCAAATATCGTCCTTAGGAAATACAATAGATCAGTGGCAACTTTAAATCTGCATGTAGTTGTTAGCTGTTGTGTTGTATAAAATATTTGAAGTGGTTAGCTGTTGTGCTGTATAAAATATTTGTAGTGGTTAGCTGTTGTGTTGTATAAAATATTTGAAGTGGCTAGCTGTTGTGTTGTATAAAGTATTTGGAGTGGTTAGCTGTTGTGTTGTATAAAATATTTGAAGTGGCTAGCTGTTGTGTTGTATAAAGTATTTGGAGTGGTTAGCTGTTGTGTTGTATAAAGTATTTGAAGTGGTTAGCTGTTGTGTCGTATAAAAAAAAATAAGTGGTTAGTGGAGATCTACATCGGGGTATAAACTAGATAGAGGTGTGAGTAAAAAAAAACACTTCATATCTTTAAATTCTAATAATAGCATAATGCATAGATTATCCTAATTACATCTCATGGTATCAGAATAAAGTAATATTATTAAAATAAAGTATTGTATAGTATTGTATTGTATTGTATAATTGTTTGCAATTTTAAAACATATTGCTGTCTTGAAAATAGAAATATTTAGTTATACATTTTTTCCCATTTTTTAATTGAAAAATTAAGGGAAACAACTTATAACTTTGTTGTTAAAATAATTTACAATATAAGTACATTAAATGGCAATACAAGAAGCAAATAAATTATTGTTGTATTTTTAAATTAATATAAAGCAATTAATAAAATAAATAGTTTAGTATGTTTAACTTTTAGAAAATGTAATGTTATCTGTTTATTGCAGAACATTAACCAAATAAATAATAATTACTTTAAAAAAAGGAAAGATACGTTTAAACAATGATCTATCGTCCGCAAGCGTGATGTTCATTGTTTTTCTTGGTACCCCAAAAAAGTATGTATGGGTACTAAAGTCAAAACATATTACTTTTATATTAAGTTACACGAACGTGCTAGCAGGAATTAGTAGCATGAAGAGTAAAGTTCCTTTTTCAAACCTCACGGTCTATTGGACAAGTGAAATAGAGTTCACTTGTTTCTGTGACCTCGGCATATGTAGAGCACTATGTACAGCCGCCTTTACTTTCCCTAACGTGATTTAGGTACCCATCATAGTTGGGTCTACTGACTTTAACCCGGATTCGAACTCGATGGGTTAGTAGTCAAGCTCTCTACCGTTATACCACTCCGTTCCATTAGCATGAATCACTGGGTTATAAGGATGGACTGCACTTTTATGAATTTACACTAGAAAATCGTCCCGAGAATTAAGGAACACTTCAACATTGTTCTAAATATAATGTACACAAGCTGCGAACTGATTCCCAGACCTCACATAACTGAAATAACAAACACATGCCTTTAAAAAATACCATTGATGTATATCAACACCAATGGTAAACTACTGTGGGACAGGTCATATTCAAATGGTGATTTATGAAACGAGATTAACGATGCTTATTTTAGCTTGTCCATAAGGTGCAATGTTATTTTTTTTAAACGTTAAATTAATGTCTGTAAATGCACTCGTAATGTTTATAACACTATTTTACTCACATAAATAAACGATTACAATATTTGAAAAAAAAAGATAAAATGCCTTTGAAATTTAGATTAAACTGTTTCCGAACATCAAAAAGATTTTTAAAAAAAATATAATGACTTGTATTTACTTGCCATAACAAACACGCCCTAATACCATTATGTAAACTATAATGACTAGTGTTTACTAGGTGCCATGTCATCCCCCATCCTCTTGTAGGAATTATTAATAGTTTTTTTACTCTAATTAACCATTAATTTAACTGAACACAATTATTTTTTCTCTTATGTTTTGCAATTATTTATCTTAGTTTATTACCCTACTGTTAAGTAAATCCAAATAGTAATGTATAATTCTTGCCTAGGGATAAACTCCCACTTCACGTTGGGGATAAGCTCCAATTAACTAGAGACGTCGCGAATCGGGTGACACCGATAACTGGTGGGGGGATGTTTGTATAGTAAATGAAACTAACTCCATTTACAATACTATTAAGAGTTTAATTGTGTGAGCTCCCCTGGTAATTTAAAATGTACAAAAAAATTGCGATTTGAATTTTTTTTTTTGGGGGGGGGGGGGGGGGGGGAGACTAAATTTCTTTTATTTTTTTTTTTGGGGGGGGGGGACACTGATATATATATAAATTTTCTGTATGAATTTCATTTCGTTCGACTTGCGTAATTTACTTTCCCTGGCCACTCCGGCTGACTTTAACGAGGGGTTGAGAGTTGTTTTTTAAATATTTGAATTTATAAATTAATTCCAAACATCTCACGTCTCTAAAAGCTTCTGACAATCAGATCCATCTCCTGACCTTCACACTTGGCCCAGTCTCTGAGCATGACGAGAAACCGTTATATTATAAACTAATAAAACAGGATGGGGGGGGGGGGGTAATATCATGATGATTGTAGTTCAATAAAAGTTTCTCCAATATAGTAAGGTTATGGTTACGGTATTGTTTTGGCGTCAGACGAAGACAGTCCAATAAAAAACAACTCAGGTAGATGGACATGTACCACGAGCTGCCTATCAAAAAATCTTCATGCGGGACTATTGACATAAGGGAGGATGCGAGGAAGGAATTGACGTATTTGTTTGGAGGACTTCAAGGAACGGACTCGGCTGGCCGTTACATAATTTTTTAAACCATCAGAAAACTGAAAAAGATGACAGGATATAAAGTAGAAATAATGTTTTCTTAGTTTTACATGAGTTTTATTAAACAAGAGTACCTTTAAAAATTCTTAGTTATGATGCCATGTCGTTTAGCGAGTCTAATCAATGAATCATCAGATTCACCCATTCGTCTGATTGCCCCACAGATAGCATAGGTCTTGTAAGATCCAGTCATATGGCCTGTAGTCTCATCAACCTCTGTAATGTTGATCTGGATAGAAGCATGATCCTTGGCACCAATGATGCGGTTACTGGCAGAGAATTTGCGAGGAATCAACAGATCCACGAATTATCCTGTGTCGTTTTGCATGATGATGAAACCTTTTTAAGGATCAATTGGTGTAGTGCGGAAGCCAACAATGATGAAAAGGAAACACGATGTGCGCATGTGCGAGTAAGACCTCAAGGCCAGAGAGCTAATGTATTGAGTGAATAAAATAATTTTTCCATGACTAACGTTTACGTGTCTAATAAAATCAATGGTTTTAGAATTTAACTACAAGATAAGTTTATATTTGTTTATTGAAAAATATTAAAATATAGAAAAATTGTATAATGACATTTTTTTAAAATAAAAAAATTTAATAAAAAAAAAATAATAGATGAACGTTGTTTGTATAGCAAATGAAAATAACTCTATTTACATTACTATTAAGAGTTCAATAGTGTAACTTCCCCTGGTAATTAAACATTTACAAAGAAAAGCATTTAATACAGGTTTTATAAGTATAATATGTAAAAAGTCTCATGAGAGACCAAAAACTTTTATGAAAGAAAACTAATTAATTATTGTTTTTTGTATGACTGTAATGAAAGATAAAACTGTACACATTGGATTTGTGCCATAAGTGATGTTAGACACTGGCACACACCGATGATTTAAACAAATAATTAATAGTAATATGATAGTAGTAATTTAATAAACATTTTATATAATAATTTGGATTAGTACAGTCGCTGTGTTTTGGTGATAGAATTGTGAGATTATTTAATATAAATAAACTACTATTGTTTATTTTGTTATGAAAAGCAATCTTTGTGACTATCGTTGTTTTTACTTTACCTGGCATCTACGGTGGACTGTAACGAGGGATTGAGGTCCGTTTTAAAAAAAAAAATTGAATTTATAAATTAATTCAATACGGCTTTTAACCAGCTTATATATATATATATATATATATATATATATATATATATATATATATATATATACATATATATATATATATATATATATATATATATATATATATATATATATATATATATATATATATATATATATATATATATATATATATATATATATAGTAATGTTAAACCGATTGTAGTTTATGGTTCCCAAACAGCTTTAATTTTTACAAATGTAACTATAGTTATATCGCTTGCCATATTTAAAAAAAACACATCTAGTATCATTACATACACTTCAAGCATTTTAAAAATATGTATGCAAATCTTTAGAAAACATGGTAAAATCCATAAAAATTATACATTACATTATTCTTGTATGATAGAACAGTTCGTTTAGCAGTAGGCTCCTATATTGCATCACTAACTAGGAAAATATTTGGTTAAAAGTGTCACATGTTACGAAACATATCATCAATACTACTGGGGGTCGGAGCGGCCGGGTTGGTAATGCTCATGACTGCTTCACCGACAAGTCCCTAGGTTAAACCCCTTAGTAGATGAGTCTCGATAGCTGGAGAAAACCTCAACATCAAACAGCTACGGCTTTGTAGTTTGTTTTTGAATGGACACATTTTCTGAGAGGAAATCCAGAAATAAAAGTTGTAGAAAGGAAAGTTTTAGCGGATGGACATAGTGCTGTAACCAACGATAGAGAAAGTAAAAGCCGCTATACATAGTGCTGTAACCAACCATATATAAAGTAAAAACCGCTATACATAGTGCTGTAACCAACGATAGAGAAAGTAAAAGCCGCTATTCATAGTACTGTAACCAACCATATATAAAGTAAAAGCCGCTATACATAGTGTTGTGCTTCACATACCAAAGTCTCAGACTTAGGTTGACTCTACTTCATTCGCACATTCAGGTTCGAAAAAGGAACTTTACTGTCCCAATGTATAGCTATAAGACATTTGTTGCGACAAACACTATACATTATGCATGTATGTTCGTGTGTGTACGTGTGTTTGTGTCTAGCAATTAGTAGTATGTTTAGGCTGGCTTGGTTCGTGCGAGCAGGGGTCGGCAACCTTTTGAGACGGAAGAGCCAAAAGTTACAATCTACAAAATTTCCCAGACTTTAAAGAGCCACTAACACTTGTATGTGCACTTCGGTAGTGGAAAGCTTGGAACCATTGCCACAGAGCTGGCCACAGCATAGTTGTGGGGCTGGGCCTAATGCCTAATGCCTTAGGCTATCAACTGTCCACCTATTATCATTGTTTTTATTTTTGTTTTTGTTTATTTTTTTTTTTTACAGTATACAATTTTTTTACTTTATCTAATAAAAGAATATAATTATTTTAAAAGAATATAAATATTATAGAACTAGAGAGCCGCATTTTGACATCAAAAGAACCGCGTACAACTCGCTAGCCGCAGGTCACCGACCCTTCGTGCAAGTAATTTGGTTAACACAAGAAATCTTGTTTTTTTTTTTTTTTTTTTTTTTTTTTTTTTTTTTTTTTTTTTTTTTAAGTGTTAATAATTTTATTGATTTCAATCATTGATAGCATGTCTTACATTTAGATTTCATTTGCAACCAGTCCAACCTACAGATTAATTCTCCTTTCCTTAATTATTTGATAACTAACAAGCAATTTCCTAAATCTTAACCTGTAGTAAATTTTTCTTACTTCTGAAAAAAATAAGTGTTAATTCTATTTCAACCATACGTAATGAATATAAATATAGGCATATTTTTTAGATAGAGCATTTAATTTTAAACTGATCATGCTGTTATAAAATATACTGTATCCCATGCATTTACTTCAATTTTTTCCCCATCCCTTTAGATTTGGCCAAAAGTGATGGATCAATCTCATCTGGTGCCAGCCCTTTGACAGAAAAAAGCCTGGCAGCCCTTTCTTCAAGTGTACCACCACACTCGAGTCCTCTTGCCATCAACTCAGTCTTTAATCTTTCCAGTCCAAAGTGGCAGAGTTCCTGACTGCTGGTGATCTGATCCAGATCAAGAGGTTCCAGTGAACCACAAGGTTGTGCTGGTGGTAATGGGTTAACACTTTCTCCCTTGTCTTTGGTTACCTCCAAACAGCTGTCAGATGATGAATGAACTGAACCATCAGCTGTTGTGGAATCAGTCGTGTCTTCTTGCAACCTGGGCTCTGTTGATGAAGCTGGACCTGAGTTACTGTCTGTACTACAACCAGCGCTTTGACTTGTTTCTGTCTGTACCTTGAGACCACTAGTGCTTTGTGATGAACACGGCTCACAAGGTTGGGCTTCATTATCAGAGCCACTTTCTAAATCATCTGAATCCAATTCTACACCCAGCCATTCTGCCTTTGACTTTTTGGTTGGAGAAGCCCCACTTGGTTCACTTTTGTTCTGCTTTCTTTTTAAACCTTTACTTAATGCATCTTCTAAATCTTCTTGTACTTTAGCTCTCTGCTCATAATATTCTTTATCCTCAAATTTGTGCTGATGTGAAGTTAGTCGTTTGGCAAGACGGTCCTGTTTTCGCTGTTCCTTCTCACGTTCTCTTTCTGCTTCTTTAGCTAGCCATTCTTTTAATTTCTTTTCATTATTAATATCCCGCATCCTTCTACCACTTAGATCTCTGCATGCCTCTCTACTAGTTGTTTTTTTCAATTTGAGCTCCAATAGCACGAAGCATAGATCCAAAGCCTCCTTTACCACCAAAAACTCTCGGAACAATGTGATATATTCTGTCATCCTCCAAAATACTGCCTGAAGAAACTTTTCGACCATTGCATAAAATGTAAAAAAATGACCTTTCTTCTTCTTGTAAAACATGCTGTAAAAAATCTTCAACGGGCTTTGCAGATAGATTCGAAAAGGACCAACATTCTTTGGTTGAACAAAATGTAACATAGACAGGCATTTTATTCTTTAAAAATAATGTTTAACTTTAAAAGTCGGATAGCCCAGGGGTCGGCAACCTTTTGAAGCGGAAGAGCCAAAAGTTACAATTTTCAAAATTTCCCTGGTTTTAAAGAGCCACTAACATTTTTTTTTATTTTAAATATTTTATTTTTTTATCAAGATTATTAGTATTTGTTCAAGGAGCTGGAGAGCCGCATCTTGATATCAAAAGAGCCGCATGCGGCTCGCGAGCCGCAGGTTGCCGACCCCTGGGATAGCCAGATTAACTCGGTTGACAGTAAACAAGTTTATCGCTCTTAAATATTTTGGGAAACAAACAGTGGAATATAATTGATCAAAATAGCGGAATTAAGCTTATATAAGCGAAGTTATCTTACATAGATATGTGTTTCGTAATTTAATTAGGAAAACTTTTTCTGTTAATATTTATACACTTTTAAAAGCAGACAAAAAGTTTACATAACGTTTATTAATACGTATAGAAAACAAAACAAAATAAACAAGAATTTACATAAATTTTATATTTCAACTATGTTATTGTTTTTTTTTTATACATTTGATAACATAATGTAAAGTTGTTTCCCTTGTCTGTTTAAACTATAGTATGGGATGTAACAAAAAGAAACCAATATAATAAGATCTATCAAGTTGCAACATTGCTGTGTTGTATAGAAGAATTCAGATTTATGTTTACGAGAAAAGGACGGAGCATTGTAAGAAAGATTAATTTATTTTACTATATTTAAGGTAGACCTACTTTCCTAAAATAAAGAAGCTACATATTTGAAACTATGTGACATTTACAACTTGTTAAAAAAGACAAAAAGTTTACATAACTTTTATTAATAATTATAGAAAAGAAAACAAAATTAACAAGGATTTACATTATTATTATATTTCAACTGGTGTATTGGTATTTTTGTAAATTTGATAACATAATTTTAAGTTGTTTCCCTTATTTTTTAAAAACTATTATATGGGAAGTAACAAAAATAAACCCATATAATACGTATAAAGTTCCAACATTGCTGTGTCGTATAGAAGAATTAAGAGTTATGTTTATTAGAAAAGGGCTGAGCATTGTAAGAAAGGGTAATTTATTTTACTATATTGAAGGTAGAACAACTTTCCTAAAATAAAGAAGATACATAATTGAAACTATGCGAGTTTTCCAACTTGTTAAACAATAGTAATCATACTAATTCAATGAAACAAAATGTAAACACTTTCTTTAGCTTAATACGTATGCCGATGATAAATCTTTGTATGATCACAATATACCAGGGGTCGGCAACCTGCGGCTCGCGAGCCGCATGCGGCTCCTTTGACGTCCAGATGCGGCTCTCCAGCTCCTTGCACAAATATTAATAGTTATATAATTTCATTTTTACTGGATGTTAGGGTACGACTTTACCCTGCGTTCAGTGGGATGAAAGATAAGCCTGGTGAGAACCAAAGGATAGAGGCGGACGATGCAAGTTATTCAAACCGATATCCAAGCCAGTAAGAGGGCGTGTGCCGTGCTGAGGCATGACTGGCTAATGGGAGACACCTCCTGAGCCGGTGATATCCGTAAAGAAAAAAATAAAATAAAAATTAACAGCTTCTAAAGTAAATTGAGATAGTCCTAGAATAATATTATTTGATTACTAATTTTACTCTTCTGTCGAAACTTGTCTATGATTTTATATGAATAAATATTATTTCATATTTAAAGCTATTTATTTTAAATAACAAAATGAACTTTATTTACCTAATCCTAATCAAATACCGAAAATTGAACTAAAAATGTTGTGGCTCTTTAAAAACTGGGAAAGTTTGTAAATTGTAACTTTTGGCTCTTGCGTATCAAAAGGTTGCCGACCCCTGCAATATACTCAAGTGTATAAAACAACGCCGATAAAAACAGAAGATTAGCGTTTTATCTCTTACATTCTGCTGAAAAAATCCTAACTTATAATTAGGTCACTGCCTCTTTGCCTGTCCGAAAGCCTTGTCTTAGCATTATAATTATCATATAGTCCCGAGGATAAATAACACAGTTATCAATACAGGCTATACACTAAGCTAAGTATGTAACATAAATCAAACACAAACCACTAATTAAATTTCGTTTTGTTGGATTCTGGACCGACAGACGTTTACAGAATGATGATGTTCGGAACAATGGATAATATCAATCGTCAATACCAGATGTTTAGTTATAAAAAACTGAACTTTTAGTTTTTTAATTTAACAATAAAGAACATCAAACAATGCTTTCTGATCTGAGTTAATTTTCTTGTTCCTATTAATTAAATTGTGTTTTTCTATCTTTAGTTTGCGCTCTTATGTCGGCGCTCTTTTGTCGGCAAATTAGTGCGCTCCTATGTCGACGCTCTTATGTTGGCTCTCTTTTGTCTGCGCTCTTATGTCGGCGCTCTTTTGTCGGCAAATTAGTGCGCTCCTATGTCGAAGCTCTTATGTTGGCTCTCTTTTGTCTGCGCTCTTATCTCGGCACTCTTATCTCGGCACTCTTATGTCGACGCCCTTATGTCGGCGCTCTTTTGTCGTGCGCTCTTTTGACGGGTCACCCATACATATATTTATTTTTAATAAAAAAAATAGAATATATATAATTACGTAAAGGAATAATTGTATACCCTTGGTAGTTTAAAATTTAGAAACAGAAGCAAAAAATGCACATTTTAAAAGTAGACAACATTTTTTGTTTTAAATTCCAACTTTGGCGTGTAAATATAGCATATTAATTAAATATGTATTATAATATTACATATGCTGTAACAGATGTATAAGTATATACATGTCAAATATGTTGTATAAAGTATTTGAAGTGGTTAGCTGGGAAATGCTTCCGAACATCACAAAGATAAAACAAAAATGTTATTTTATTCAGAATTCATTTCCCTATGAGTAAATTATCATTAATTTGACCTAAGTGACGTAGATGTCTTTTAAGCTATTAGCTTCCTACTGTTGAGCCGGGTACAGGACGGTGGGGTACGATTTTACCCTGGGCTCTGTGGGGTGGAAGATAGGCCTGATGAGAACAAAAGGACAGAAGCGACCGATACACTGTTATCAAACCGATAGTCAAGCCTGTTAGTCAAAGTTAGTCGTGTTGAGGCCTGGCTGGCTAATGGCAGACACGTCCCCTGCCGGTGATGTCTTTACTTCAAAGAAAAAAAAAAAAAAGTTAACTTCTTCTCAAGTGGATTGGGATAGTCCTATAGTTATATTATTTGATTACTAAACTCATTATTATTGCGAAACATGTGTATGTTTTTATATGAATAATTATTATTTCATATTTATAGCTATTTATTTTTAATAACAAATCACATTTATTTACCTAGTCCTGATCAAATAATCAAATACTAAAATAAAAATGTTAGTGGCTCTTTCATAACTGGGAATTTTTGAAAATTGTAACTTTTTGCTCTTTCGTCGCAAAATGTTGCCGACCCCTGATCTAGTCCTATGATATTGTAAACTTTGATCTGATGTAAAGTACGAGAAAAAACTTTTAATCTAAATTATTGATTTTTCACATATAGTTGAAGAATTGGATAGCGACGAGAAATAGTTGAAGAATTGGATAGCAATGAAACTATGTTAACTCTAAATTTGTCTTTAATAAATTTTATTTTACCTTATAAAACTATAGGTTTTCCATTTTTAATTTAGGAAGAACTTTAATTTTTGCAAAATATACGAATTGTAAAAAATTATTTATTTCTAAAAGATGTTGTTAAGAATAATATAAGTAATAATGCTTTGCATGTTTCTTTGTGTGTAATCTATAGAGTATATATTTTACATACTTCAAAGTATCTAGTTGTGTAGCCTCCCCTGGTAATTTAAAATTTACAAATTAAAATCATTTAATACACATTTTAATGGTAAACATTTTTTTTAAACTTTCAACTTTGGCGTCAAATCGCAGCATCAAGGTTGTTGGCTGGTAAAAAATCGTATTTATGTCTTAGTATTTCATCAATACATTTAAAATAAATTGATTTAAACATGTGGAAGAACAGCTATAGATATGTTTGAAAATGAAGAATGTTTGAAGTGTTTGATTGTACCGAAAATATTCCGGCTTCTTATAATATTTTCAATGTTTGTTTTTTTTTAATCCCAAGTTTCTTTCATCTACACTTAAAAGCCCCAACCCCCTCAAACCACCATGGCGATAAAAACTATCCATTGAATCATCATTAAATTACATTTACAAATTTGCATTTTCACGTTTAAAAACAAAATTGTAATTAGGCGTTTTTTTATTATGTAAACCATCTAAAATGAATGAGAGTCAGAAGGAAGTATTATGATTGTTAATCTTTATCAGTCCTCACAAGCCGATGATAAAAACTGAAATACTCAAGCGAACATGACATGGCATACTGACGCTGTAAATTACATGTCTGAGGCAAAAACAAAAAACAAAAACAAGTAGGGATATTTTCTGACAATGAAACATTTAAAAAGAAAAAAAAATACCATTATATCATTGAATCACCCTTTATTTACACTTTTACATTTGAATATAATATAAATTGTAAAATAAATAAATGTTGAGATTGTTAAACAATCTGTCACTGTTAAAACCATGTTAGAAGATTTGGGAATGGATGAGGATGAAGATGAACCTGTTCCACTACCTAATGTTAATGCTGCTATATTAAAGAAGGTAATTCAATGGTGTACCTTCCATCGGGATGACCCTCCACCACCTGAAGATGATGAAAACAAAGAAAAAAGAACAGATGATGTTTGCTCCTGGGATACAGAATTTCTTAAAGTTGACCAGGGCACCTTGTTTGAGTTGATTTTGGCTGACAACTACTTAGATATCAAAGGCTTGCTTGATGTAATAAACTATTAGCACTAGAAAAAGTGTTAAATTTTAAATATTTTTTGTTACAATAATAATAAATAAAATGAACAAGAATTTACAAAATTGTTTTACTACAACTGGGGTATCGGTTTTATATAATTTTGATATAATAGTTCAAAATGGTTTCCCTTATGTATATAAAATATTTAGATGGGAAGTAACTGATCAAAAATATTTAACTCTATCCAGTTACAGCATTGCCGTAGTACAACTCACGCTAATACTATACGTACATGCTGTACATTATAATATTATTACAACATGACTAAAGAAAAGCAAAGTGTGCTATTAACACTATAAGAACTATTCATAAGAAAAGGGTGGAGCATTGAAAGAGTATGTATTTGTATCAAATAATTGATGTAACACTCTTATTGGTTGTTGTTTTTATTTTTTTTATTTTATAACTTTAACTAATCACTGAAGTTCTAACTGTTGATTTTACTATTCAAATAGTGTATGTGATCTAATTTCATGTTAAAATAGCTAAATTGTGTTGATCTTGAAGCGATTCAGTTAATGTTCGATAACTTTTATTACTTTCTCGTATACACGAAGTATAGAGAAAGTCTTGTAATCGTGCAAAAAAAAAGAGAATCATACAAATCTCGACGTTTAACAATTCACCGATACGGAAAAACATAATTTTGCAATCTTGTCCGTATGTCTGTGTTTCTGTCTGTGTGTGTTTGTGTGTGTCTGTCTGTGTGTAAACACGATAACTTGAGTACCGTTAGAGCTAGGTTGATGAAATTTCATATATAAGTATTTTATCTAAATCGTAGATATGTATCATTTTTTGAGCGATTTCCGATAACCGGAAGTGGTATTTTTTCTACTTTGAATTTTTCAAAAGCCTATAAGTTGAGTACTATTTCAGGTAGATAAATGAAATTTCACATGTAAGTAAAAGATCTAATTTTCTACCTTCTGTCAAATATTGAGTAATTTCCGTTGACTGGAAGTACTAATACGCTATTTCCGATTTCTCAAAAAACGCATGTAAATTTATAAAGTACTAATAATATTGCCCACTATTATGCACATTTTGTTTTGGCGTTCGCTTGGTGCACAATTCTTTTTTCTATGAGATTCTAACTATTTTAAAAGTTTAAGTAATTAAAAATCGTATCTATATTCGAAGTTATATAAGAATATTCTAGGTGTGTGGATGAAACCAGTTGCACAATTGAAAGGGGAAAAAAAAAATTCAACATTTTAAATTATGTAGGCCCCTATATACCTGTGTATTTTAGATTTAAGTCTCACGTAAATTTTCTTCAGGAACGCATTTAAATATTGTGTTAGCTCATGTTAATTAAGATGTGTGTATCTATGCATTAATACAATATATGCAGCCACCCAGAGACTGATCCATGAGCGATAAATGAAAGATGACTTAGAGATCTAAAGCATAGATCAAATAGTGAAATGTAGAATAATCACTAATGCGATTGGTCCCTGTTTAGATCCTGCTAAGTATCGTAAAAACAAAACAACTCAGGTAGTATGGACATGTACCACGAGCTATCAACAACCTTCATGCGGGGCTCGTAACATGATGGAGAATGGGGGAAGACATTGACGAATTTGGATGGAGGACTTCAAGGAATGGACTCGGCTGGACATTACATAATTTTTAACTCATCAGAAAACAGAAAATGAAGGCATTGAAAGAAAGAAAGATACTGGAAGAATGCTATTTGTTATGAATGAGGACAACTATGAAGTCGTTGGTTAAATTTTATTTTCTGTTTATTTAATTTTACGTAGCTGATAAAGTCAATGGCTCTATATTTAAACTAAACGTTAATGTTTATGATTTAGTTAATGAAATATATAAACTGTAGAATGTTTTGTCAACAACACAGTTTTATTTCATTAAAAAAATATAAACAATAATTTCCACGAATATTTCTTTTCACAATAAAACTGTCGGTATTTACATGACTTTTAAGAACTTAGTTGTGTGATCTCCCTTGGAAATTTAAAATTTAGAAATGGAAGCAACAAATACACGTTTTAAAAGTAGATAATATTTGTTTTTAAATTTTCAACTTCGGCGTGTAATAGCACCATATTAAACAAATATGTAATATAATATTACCTATGCTGTTACAGATGTATAAGTATATCATGTCAAATATGTTTTAATTTATTTTTTCTGATTATTGCCTCATACATTTTCGAACAAGTAAAATATTAAACATCACACACAACAGTCGACATACAACACACATAGTACATTTTAAACAGAATCTCAGTCGATACCATGCTACTGTTATGATATGAAAATATACGTACACTATGTATAGTTAACATGGTGTACATTGTTAACCGTTCACACCTAGAACACTTCTCAATCTAAAACATCAACCTGTAGGGTTAAGGCTAGGTAGGTATGTTAAAGTAAGATTGTTTTCTTAGGTTTAGTTTATGGATATTATAATTATTTATGTATAAGAATACGATTTAATACTATAAGCACCATTAGCGCTAGATATGTAATTTGTCGTCAGATGTCGCCCTAGTGTTTAATGAAATTATAACAGATTTAAAGCTAAACAATTAGGTACCTAAACTAGCGGTAACGTTTTGTGCTTAGGACTCCCAAGAAATTTCTAAGCATTATCATCATCACTACTTGCGGTACAAAGGAACTCAACCACACCTTTACACAGTGGCGTCGCTAGGTCGGGTGTAACTAATGGTGTCATCCCCCCCCCCCGCGAAAATATATATATATATATATATATATATATATATATATATATATATATTTTGAGACCCTTAAGAGATATATAGTGCTGTAATCAACATTAGAGAAAGTAAAAACGGCTGGACATAAAGCTGTAAGCAACATTAGATAAAGTAAAAACAGCTGATACATAGTGCTGTAACCAACGTTAGAGAAAGTAAAAGCAATAGTGCCGTAACAAGCTGGAAATAGTGATGTAACCAATGTTTTTTCCAGACTTTTTTCTTGAAGGGTGGGGGGAGGGTGGACTATAATTTCGTGGGGTCGGACTCTGTTAAAGGGACATGCGCTGTTTCTTTTTCTTTTATGTGTTATAATTTAATTTAATTTATTAATTAATTTAAAAAAGACTATGTCTACGTCGTCTTAGGCTTTGATTAAAAAATGATTTGATTTTCTGTGATTATGTTACACGATCTATTAGGGCCTGGATCTAATTACCTCTTAAAACCATATTTTATTTATTTTAAATGTTTATAAAGGAACTTGAAACGCGGTGTGTTTTTTAGCCGCGGTCCAACATGTGGACGGCTAGAATGACCATAAGCCCCAACCCCCTCCCTTTGTCCGTCCGTTCACAGAAAGAACCCCCCGACCCACTCTCCTCACTCTCCCCCCTCCCTTGTGGACGTCATACACAGTTGACCCTCAACGGTCTACCAAATATAATGCGGGGCTGGTGACGGTGGGGGGGGGGGGGAATAGAAGGAAGGCGTTTGGATGGAGCACTACACGAAATGTATTTGGCTGCCCGTTACAGATTTTGGAAAGCATCAGACAACCGAAAAATATATCAGAAGAATAATCAATAAAGTAATGTGAAATCGATATGAGAAAATGATTTCCATACAACGAAAAGGAACGTCATACCGGTAATTAACTTAATGTTCGCAATACTATAGCTTACGTAGTTTATAAAGTCATTGGTTTTATAATTAAACTGAAAGTAAAATTGTTACCTTTGTTAAATAAAAAAAAAAATATATAGTAGATATTATGTCATAGAAAGTTTTTTTCTCGTTTATAAAAATAAGTCTATAAACAATTTTGTTTGCAAAAATGTTTGAAAACCAAATAAAACTATTGGTATTTAAATGATCTTAAAAACATAGTTGTGTGATCTCCCCTGGTGATTTAACATATAGAAATGGATGAAACTTACGTTTTAAAAATAGACAATATTTTTCAAAAATTAACTTTTCATTTTGGCGTGTAATCTGAGGCGTAGCAATGAGGGGGGGGGGGGCTCCCGGTCAAAAACCCCCTGGACATAAACCCCCTGGACATAAACCCCCCGACATAAACCCCCTGGACAAAAACCCCCTGCGACATAAACCCCCTGGACAAAAACCCCCCGCGATATAAACCCCCTGGACAAAAACCCCCTGCGATATAAACCCCCTGGACAAAAACCCCCCAATTGAGGTTTATATAAGGAAAAACCAAAGATGACGAGAAACAAAATTAATATAATAAACCGGGAGTGATCTCCCCTAAACTTTCTCGAATATTCTTATATAAAATAACAGGGGATGGGAACTCGGGCTATAGACATGATTTTTAATCCATTTTAAATACTTAAAGTTTTAAAAATAGAATAAAATCTCGTAGACAAATTAATTGCACACCAAGTGAACGCGAAATAAAAAAGCGCATAATAGTGCGCAATATTATTAGTACTTTTAAAATTTACATTAGTTTTTTGAGAAATCGGAAGTAGCGTAAATTACTACTTCCAGTCAACGGAAATTACTCAAAATTTAACAGAAGGTAGAGAATTAGATCTTTTACTTACATGTGAAATTTCATTTATCTATCTGAAATAGTACTCAAGTTATAGGCTTTTGAAAAATTCAAAGTAGAAAAAGTACCACTTCCGGTTATCGGAAATCGCTCAAAAGTTGATACGGATCTACGATTTTGATAAAATACTTATATATGAAATTTCATCAACCTAGCAGTAACGGTACTCAAGTTATCGTGTTTACACACGGACAGACAGACACACAGACACACACACACACAGACATACGGACAAGATTGCAAAATTATGTTTTTCCGTATCAGTGAGGTGTAAAACGTCGAGATTTGTAAAAATCTCGATTTTTTTTTTTGCACGATTACAATACTTTCTCTATACTTCGTATATACGAGAAAGTAAAAATACAAAACAAACATTAGGAAAAAACTTTTATTTTTATTATAACTTTAAAAAGACAGATTGTGAGCG